TTATTCTTCTCCAGACACCTTTGCGGCCCCAATGCAGACAGTGTGACGTCATACTGGATCGTTGCCGGCTTAGTTGCCGCTGCCATAGCAACAGCCGGTGTTTTCGTGTTCAGATACTTGAGAAAGGGAGGTTCAACCACGTGACAGCAGTCACAGGAAACCCATGAAAACACGAACATGTCCGTCCACTTGTCGTGATGGGACAAGGCATTTGTTTTGCCACAGATTTGAACCTCGCAGTTACTAATATAAAGAGGTTCTGTATTCAATATCTACAACAACCTTCGGAAGTGAAAAGATCGTAATCGTGCCAAAGTGGAAATAGTTTATTTTTAATGCTACTACCGACTACTGTGTTTTTAATTGAACAAACTTTCGCCGATGTCAACAAAGCCTGACGTGCACTCGGCTCCTTTCTAGTGTTGTATGTAATTTTCCTGCCACCAAAGAGATTGAGAAAGTCAATTCATGATACTGTTATTTTTAAGCTAAGCTTTGAATACTAATGTTTCGACAGAAGGATGTTCTGTTGCTCTTGCGTTCTTGCACAAGCATTGAATTGTATCAAGTAGTGAATTGTTTTTTTGTGTGGAACTCTAAAGACTGTGATCTACATCTTAACATATCAAAATGCCTTAACTTTTCAATTCTTTAAAAAATGAGCTCTATAAAACACATTACAAGATGTGAATCTGAAAAATCTCGTCCCCAGGGCGTTGGGCGTTGCCCAGGAAACCCTCAAAAAATCCTCTTGAGACACTCCCATTTAAACAAAACTTCAGTGACCAAAAAAATACCAGAATTGCTTTGGTTTGGACATTATTAAAGAAAATAGAAGTAGTGCTCTTATTTACATAGGCTAACAAAACACGAAATGGGGCTCGACTTCGGTCTATGTCCGACTCAGGATTGCATACTTTACAATCTTTGCAAACAAGTGCGCTGCAGGGAAATCGTTGGCCACAATATTGCCTCAGTAACATAACGTGTTAGTCTGATGATGTTGAAAAAAATATGCTCTTGATATTGAGAGGGCATGAATTTACTGCCTAAAATTTGAGCCCCATATATTCATATAGTTTTTGTGTGGCGTAGGTTAGAAATTTCAAAGTTTTACAAAGGATATAAAGCTCATTAGTATCACCCAACTAGTGGACTAATGCAAATCCTGCATTTTGATTGGCTACGCTACTAGAGGACTATTAGTAATAGTCCTCGAGTNGTCCGACTAGTTGGGTGATACTAAAACAATTAGACCCTTCGCCCTCAAGGGCCACGAGTCTAATTGTTAATTATATAAGATCAGAAGCATATCACCTATCTAGGTGATATGCTTCTGATCAGATATACCACCCAGACATTCTTCAGTTTCTGCAAGCGTTTGAATATCACACTCAAAGAGCTAAACATTTCACCAACTGCTAGGTTTTACGAGCTCTTTCTAAAGAGCTTTAAAATATTTCAAAAATATTTGTAAAGCAGTATGCTGGTGACGTCAGCAGGGTTCTCCTGTGACATTATTATGGTGTTAACATTTTCAACACGGCGCGTTGACCAGGCAGCTCGCAATATATGGTGAAAATTTTTTCCTTGCATCTATCATTCCCGTACAGTAGTAAAACCATTATACATATTACATAGGTCTTTCATCATATTATCCACTTGCATACTTTCAACAGGTAAAACTAAATTGAAAAATAAAACAAAGTGTGAAATATCTACAATTTAACAAATCGAATGTGGTTTGGCGTGGTCTGTACTCTTATCGACAAAGAGTACGCGTCATCACAGTGGTCAAAATGTTGTGGGCTCGCGAGGCGCAGCCGAGTGAGTCCGCAACAAATTTTGACCACTGTGATGACGCGTACTCGTCGATAAGAGTACAGACCACACTAAACCACATTCGATTGGTTTTTTACCACAATATCAAAGATAACGAAAGAAAACTTTGTCAAGATTTGTTGACAATCCTCCGTAAGAAAAAAGATGGCGACTGGTACATTTACCCATAATTCTTAGTCCACGAAAACTTTAACAATGCTCATAAAAACGTACAGAAAAGTTCTAAAATCCTCAAACCTAGCATACACAATGTCGTTAGCTCAGAGACAAATATCGCAAAAATCTGGCTTTCCTTGTACTTGTATTAGGCTCGCATGGTATTGTGGTAAAATGTACAGCCGCCATCTTTTTTCCTACTGCGGATTGGAAACACCGACTCGGACTTTAAAGTGCACGCGCTGCATTATTCAAATGAGCTACTTGTACGCGTCAGACTTTTCGGGAAAAGATTAAGGACGCGTATTCGTTGTCGGTAAGAGTTGAGACCATGCTAAACCACATTTCGATTTGTTTTTTACCACAACATCAACGTAAAAGAAAATGTTTTTTTTAGATCAGCGAGAGCTGAAAAAGGCATTGCGCGACACATTGACGCGAGCGGCGTGGTAGGGACTCTTATCGACAACGGCAAATTAGCCAATCAGATTGCGAGATTAGCAGCAATTGTGGTAAAAAAAAAACTTTCGGATATTTTCATACCTTGTTTTTTATTATTATTATTAGGCTTAAAGAGGAGTTAACTCTAAAACCTAACCCTAACCCTACGTAACTCAGATATTTCACACTTTTTATTATTACTCATTATTATTATTATTATTATTGTCATTGTTATTATTGTTATTGTTATGATTATAATTATAATTATTATTAGGCTTAGAGAGGATTTAAAAATACTTTATAGTATTTCTATTGAAGCCTGTTTGTTATGGTCGTTCATAAAAATTCCATAAAGACCTAACTTGTACTCTTCTTCTCTTAACTTTTCCCCAAATTCCTCTTGCATGAGGGCGTAATTTTGCAGTATTGAAGATCTACACCCTGTCTTTTCCAGAAAGTTCTTATAACACCGGCTCCGCTTTGTTGTCTTGGGCCATGGTAAATGGTTAACAACCACCTGATCAAAAATGGTTCTCTCGCAACTCTTGTGAATGTCGACAGCGCACTGTTCAGGTACCTGCGGTGTTGCTTCAACAGAAACAATGAATTAAGGCAAAGACATA